TTAATCTGTAACACTCTGAACTGATTGCCTTCTTGTTTCTTGTTTTTATCTGGTGATCATTAAGTGTTCAGGACAAAAGGAACAGCACTCACAAGAGAAACCAGGAACTCCACTGACTAAAGGCATGGCAGGTTCTTGGGCATTTGGATCTCTTAATATTCATATTCACCGAACCTTTTCTCTGAAGGAAAAAAGTGGGGGTGGGGTGGAAGGAGAAAGATAATATAAAAGTTAGTTTTGTATTAGAAGCAGTTCAACTACAATGCTTTCTTAGAGCCACTCAAGAAGGAAAAGCTGTGAGCAATGAATTCTTTGTTCCCTCTAAGAATGGTAGCCCCCTAAGGGGGCTCTAAAAATACTCTAAGGGTATTTTTTTCTTAATTGCTGTCCATTTATAAAGTGAAATTTGGTCTTACTAGCTCATCCATTCATTCACTCAACAAATATTTTTGGAGAACAATTAGAGAAGCAAAAGGGAAACAGGAAAAGAGAAAATAGTATTTCCTCTCAACTTTCAGAGATAAAAAGGGAAAAGATCAACATAGCCCAGAGCCTCAGGGCGACCCTCCCTTGTCTGTTAGCTGTGTGGAACTGGGGCTTATGGTGAGGAAGCTGATGTCATTATGTGAGCAACTCACATCACATTCCAGGATGCTGGCGGGGAGATCATCCCAGACAAGGAAAGATTTCAGACTGAAACATTCCCTGTCTCTCTACAAACTTTCTAGCTTACAATTGAGTATCATTCAACGTTACTACCCACCACCCTTCCATGTTACCGCCTCCTGTTGTCCCTCTGCAATTCTCATCACTTTGTCTTAGCTACTACTCTTGCAAGTTTTCCATCTCTTACTTCTTGGTGTCAATGCCATTATCCCATGTATACCCCATCCATTTGGGCCTTAGCCTCCTCTCTTGTAAGATCTTTACCTACATATTGTTTTAGTAGAACTAACCTCTCTGTGGTTAGTTCTTTGATGGAGTCATTGGCAATAACTATGACTTCTCCCTTTTTCAATTCCCAGACTCTTACTGTTTAATCACTGGCTTTATCTTTCCAATTCACCATCTCAGGTCCCCCAACTTGAATAGTTACTTGAATGCCATCAGGACCTAGAATCCAATGACTCTACTGCTTTTGGAGAGATATTGAAGGTAGAACCTAGGGCTACATAAATGCTTAGCAAGTGTTCTATCACCAAGACACAAGCCCAGCCCTCCTACCACCTTTTCTCTGTCCTTTCCTCAACTCCATCCTTCATCTTTCCCAGCTTAAATCGTCATCTTTCCCTTCCTCTTAAATTCTGCTGCTGATCAGTATACTACCACCCCACACCCATCTGTCTCCATCTGGCATGTGGCATGACAAAACTCTAACATCTGGCTGACCCAACTCTATTACCATTGTGTGTTTACACTCAAATAACTGAGTTTGGAGAAAAACATGCACTGGTGTTCCCAGTGACCGCATTTTAATTTAATGATCATCAACTTCAAAAGTGCTTTTAGTGCTAAAAAGAAGGAGGAGGAGGAGGAGAAGAAGAAAAAGAAGAAGAAGAAGAAGAAGAAGAAGAAGAAGAAGAAGAAGAAGAAGAAGAAGAAGAAAGAAGAAGAGAAGAAGGAAAGAAGGAAGGAAGGAAGGAAGGAAGGAAGGAAGGAAGGAAGGAAGGAAGGAAGGAAACTGCTCTCTAGTTGGTCTTTCCTAGATAATGGTTGTACTCTTTCAGCACTGATTGCCTAACCTTACACTCAGCTAATGAGTTGACTCCTATTTAACTTCTCCTCTCTAAAATAATCTATTCTCCATCTCCATCTTTTTTGATTCTTTAGTAGTACTCTGCATAGTTAAACATTCCTTCCTCTCTGAAATGTTTTCCTTGTTTTCCAAGTTATAACATTCTCTTGGTTTTCAATTTATTTCACTCTTCTTGCCTTCTCTTTCTGCTTTACTGTGTCCCCATCATCTCCCTCACCCACAAGGATGTAAAGGCTAGAGAAAGGGGGCCTAAGCTTTATAAACATAAGTCAGATCATTGCATTCCTCTGCTCAAAAGCTGCCTGTGGCTTTGCATCTCCTCTCACTGTATGAGGAAAATCCAAAAACCCTTACAATGCTCTACTAGAAACCACACAGTGCAAGCCGCCTCTCACTTTTCTACTGTCTGAAGCCCTACACTCTTATCACTAACGCTTCCCATTCCAACCTCTGGCCTCCGTGCTGATCCTCAAACCCACCATTCCGGCTTACCTCTGGGTCTGGCTTCCACGTATCTGTTCAAGTCTTTGTTGAAACTGAACATGGAGCGAGGCTGTCTGTGGACAGTCTAATATTACAACTCCCCCTCCCACTCCCTTCTTTCTGATCTGCCTCTGACCTTTTCTTTTCCTTTATGTGGCTTTTACCATATGATCTGATATGTGTTTTCCTTTACATTGAAAAACACATATAGAAAAATATGTAAGTGTCCGGCACCAGTGTAAAGGTAAATCTCTTACAACTGAATACTATAGTAGGTAATTACCAATATGGAGTCAGGTAGAAATATAAGGGTATTTAATAGGGAAAAGCCTTAATTACAGAGCGAACCAGCCAGCCGGTGGTAGTCTGTACAGCAAGAAGCAAAGAGAAACCGAAACCGAAAACGCAGTCCCCCTACTCACTCTGACCACGCCCTCACAAGCCCTCAGGTACTCTTGTAGCCAGCCCCTAAGAGGCGTGGCTACAGCTTCCCCTACAGAATACTACTATACAACCAACATCCACACCAATAAGTGGAATAATATCTGTACCCTAGAAATCTCCTCATCTTCTTCTTGTCTCTTTACAATCTCCACTCCCAGGGATCCCACTATTCTAACTTCCTTCACACAGCATAGATTTATCCCCCCACCCCACTGCGGTATTGAATTTCAGGTAAATGGCCTCATATGGTGGCATACAACACATGTCAATGATCTGTCTACTATGTGTTTCTTTCCCACTAACAGCATGAAAGTTTCAAGAGTGTAAGAATTCATTTTATTCATTGGTGTGTATCTAGCACCTACAAAGAGGATGTGGCACGGAGCTCGAACTCAATAAATATTTGATGTGCAAATGAGCAAAATATCGGAGCAAGCAGAAATGAGCGGACGAGAAGGGCTCCGAGTGTGAGCCAAGTCTTGGGGAATGGGCAGGAGTTAGTGAGGCAGATCAAGGAAAAGTTATTCCAGAGAGGCAGAGTGTGCACAAAGGCTTGGCACTGTGAAAAACAATAGACACTGTGTGAAAGCCTCAGGGCATGGTAAGCCCAGAGCAATGAGCATGAGCAATGAGCAATGAGCAATGGCTGTCATGAGACACTGCAGAGCTGGGAAAACAGGCAGATGCCAAACCTCAAGGGTCTCACTTAAATAAATAGATGAGAGGATATAGGGAGAAGTAAAATATGAGGGCTTTTTAGATAGTTCTAGGACATTTTAAGGGTGTTGAAATTTTAGAGGATACAAACAACAGTATTTCTTTTGAAGTCAACTCATTAATAATGTATCCTAGTGTTCTCAGAAGTAAGTCCGAGGCCCACTATAACGTTCGAAGACACACCAAGTTCATCTGAATGTGTGGGAAAGACTTAGAAGTCTGGCAGACAAGTGAGCCCCCCTTTTTCCCTTTGAAGGAAAGGCCAGCTCATGTGGGAAATTTAAATGAATGCGTCTGTCTGGTTCGGCCTGTTTTGCTGGACTGAGGGAAGGCAGTGGGAGCTCTGCCTCCCTCACCTGTTAGTCAGGGCTCTGAGGAGACCACACCCTGTCCCTACAAACAGGAGGGGACAGAGGTGCTCTGGCTGTTGTTACCATCTGCTGCAGCTTACAGCTTACACCAGCACTTCTTGGACTTGCATGGGGATCACAACCACCCGAATCAAAATTCAGTACTGAGTATCCCCCAGGATTTACTTTCCACAGGTCACAGTGGGACCCAAGAACCCACCGGTCCTTGAGTTTTCCGTGGTGACAGTATTGCTGTCCTGGGGAATCACTACCCTGCACACTTGCCTGCATCCTAAACCAGACATAGAATTTTATGATATCTCCTTTTTCTTTTTCCAGAGGTGTGAATGTCCTACCATCCCTGTACTTCAACTTCTCCTTTCTTACTAAATGTTTCTATTACTCTATTTTATCAGCTAAAATATAGAGAATCCAGTTAAATTTGATAAATAATATTAATGCATTTCAGATATATAGTATTCGACATAGATGACATTACTAGCAACCAAAAACTTTAAAGTTTGTGTTCATTAGTTAAGATTTTCATCAAATTATTTAAAGTTCTAATTTCTTCATATAGAAAGGAACAATAGCAAGCAATTATCTTGTAGGGCTAGGTTAAGGACTTGAAATGGCATATGTGGGCTGGGAATATGACTGCATGGACATGAAGACCTGAGTAGGGGTCTCTAGCATCCAAATAAAAACTCGGTGCAGCAGTGCCCATGTGTAATCCCAGCCCTGGGGGTGCAGAGCCAGGTGGATTCCTGGGGCTCGCTGCCCAGTCGTTGTAGCTGAATTGGTGAGCTCCAGATTCAGTGAGAAAACCTACCTCAAAAAATAAAGTGGAAAAGCAATTGAGAAAGAATACTAACACCAGCCTCTGACCTCCAAACTTGCACACATATGCATATGCACCCCAAACACACATGTGCCCACATAGACACACATATACACACACAACACATATGTAAAGTTTCAGTCACATGGTAAGTGGCCCACGAATGGCAGCTATGACTACTCAGCCTGTCACATCAGGAAGCTTGAGTATCTAGCAGAGGAGCAGAAGCCTCTCTGGGAGGAACAGCCACCTCTGTCTGGATAAGAGCTGTCATTCCCCAAAGCATAGTCTCTTTTTCAAACCCAGGGGACTCCACCTCAGCACCATTTCTGACCCCAGGCTACAAGCTCCTGTTCCTGATGCTTCTCTAGCCCCCAAAGTGCTCAGAAGTGCTCGCTACATTTGGCATTCAGTAAATATTAATGAGTGGTAGCTTCTGTGTGGGAACGTATAGCCTATTCTCACGCTTCCCCTCGGAGTTGCACTTACTAGGGTACCGCCGGATAGATCTGATGGGCCGGTTGTTTTCATTTGTCTCTGTAATATGGCAGACGTATTTTTCATTTAACTTGACTGGATATTTGAGGACAGAGTAGACTCTGTACAAGCCATTCATCTGCTCCTCCAGGACTTCCACTGTACTGTGGTTGCTAATGTCCCTTTCTCCCCGGTCTAACCAGGTCACGTTGGGTGTGAGGTACCAGCCCTTCGATGTGCAGGTAACCACATCTTCATCATCAATCTTGTCAAATTTCACCTGGGGCATTTCAGAATCTGGTTGGAAAAAGATATAACAAAATAATTACTTCCTTTTTGTTTGTTTGTTTTAGTCGCAGGAGGCTCAAGCTTTTGGTGTTTATACTAACCCAGAGAGACACCACGTGTTCCTGGGTTTACTGTAGCTAAAATTTTGGCCCAGTATAATGAGAGAAAAAGAGGATATGTTGCCATCTAGGCCCCTACTGCTGCTGTCTTTATTGGGGGGGGGCTCTTTCCTTCTTGGTGCAGATTTACTCCAGATTCTCCACTGACCTCAGATGCCCCAATTGAGAATTACGGAAGAGTCTATGACAACACCACTCTGAACAAACAAATGTTCATCTGATCTCGGAGGCTAAGCAGGGTCGGGCCTACTTAGTACTTAGATGGGGAAATCACAGAAGGTAAGTAATAAAGCTGGGAGGTGGTACTTGCCTGTAATTTCCACCACTCAGAAGGCTGGGCCAAGAGGATTTCTGTGAGTTCAAGTCCAGACTAACCTATAGAAAGATCCTGCAGTGGTGGTGCATGCCTTTAATCCCAGGACTTGGAAGGTAGAGGCAGGCAGATGTCTGTGAGTTCAAGGCTAGCCTGGTCTACAAAGCAAGTTCCAGGACAGCCAGGAGTGTTGCACAGAGAAACCCTGTCTCAGGAAATAAACAAAACAAAACAAAACAAAACAAAAAACAAAACAAAAAAATCCCATCTCAAACAACAACACAGAGAGAGAGAAAAAAAAACAATCCTCACCATCTTCCAATCTCTTTCAACTCTTACCCTGGAGGAGGCTGTCTTGCAGGACTCACAGCCCCATGGGCTCTCTGTCAGAAAGGACATGGTTTTCCAAGCAATACTGGAGGATAAGGGCTCAACACTGGGAGAATATGGATTCAACCCAATCAATGTTTTTCAAACTACTTTTTAGATTTTTAAACTTCTTATTCTATGTGTGTGTGTGTGTGTGTGTGTGTTACCTACACATATGTCTATGTACCATGTACATGCCCTGTGCTCATGGAGGCCAGAAGACTGGTTGTATCCCCTGGAACTGGAGTTACAGATGATTGTGAGCTGCCATGTAGGTGCTGGGAATCGAACCAGTGCTTTAGCGAAGGGGCCATCTCTCCAGCTCTGAAATCAATGTTTTACAGTGAGAAGAATAAAGCCTAGAAAAGCTAATGGATTGCCCAATGTCATCCAGATTTAGAACTCCAGTTTCCTGATTTCCAGTTCAGCACCATTCACACTAAACTGTGCCTGACCTTAGGGTTTTCCTATGGGACTGTTGTTGTGTGTGTGTGGGGTGGGTGTGTGTGTGTGTGTGTGTGTGTGTGTGTGTGTGTGTGTAGGGGCAGTTACAATGTATAAAATTTTTTATTCAACAAGTGCAACTTTGGCTGCCCTTCAGTTCATTCATATTAATGAGTGAGTGACGTGTACTGGTATAGACAGTGGAACAGTTTTAGTTAAAGTAAATTGATATCCCTACTCTTACGATAGGAATAAAGTAATCAGAGTTAGAAAAATGAGACCACCAAGAGAGAAAATGTAGAGCTTATGAACAGAGGCCACACTTGAAACCAAGTTCATCCACCAAGTCCCTTTACCTTCCACTATCAGCTTGACCTTATTCTCGCCTCGGCCGTTGGGGGAGACAGCTGAGCACTTGTATACAGCTTCATCCATGAAATCCACATTCCGAAGCAGAAGGGACAGAATGCCTTCAGAAATCTCGTTCTGATCCACAGAGACCCTTCCCTCATATAAGGCATTCTGATCTTCAAGTTGCTCTGCGTTATCGTAGAACTGGTAGACCACCTTTGTGTACACTTGAAAGAAATCATAGTACTTGAAAAAGCGGTAAAATTCGCGGTCTTCCACTTCATATTCCTCTATTATGTCTTCCCTTTCCCAGTAAAACTCGAGGTTTTCTGTGCTGTCTATAAAGGAGAACTCGCAGTCAAGGGTCACATCAGTGAACGGGTGCGCCCGTACCTCTTCTGCTGACACTGGATGGTCAAGAAGAAATGAAATTAGTAAAGGCCGATGGCCACGGCATTGGGTAAGGGACAGCAGCAGACAAGACAGAGAAGGATTTATTGGAGGGGACGGGTCAGTTATAGAATCACTAGAAGGCTAAAGAAGTGAGCCCAAATATGTGAAGGGAAGATGTGGCTGGTCATGTGTGTTCTGCCTGCCCCAGCATTCCGCTAGACTCAGAATGACACAGCAAAGTGGGTCTGTCAGAAGGACCTGTCAGGGAGCTGTGTTGCTGAAGGTGTTGGCTCCAAACTCAAGCTGTGCTTGCCAGATTGACACTGGCAAAAGAAACCTGCCACATGCACTGTGCACCGTAACCCTTCTATCCCTCAGTCAGCTGCCAGCTCAGCCCTTATGTAAACATCTCTGACTGACCGAGCAGGCATCACTCCCAGAACCTTAACGTCAAAACATTCTTGAAAATGTTCTTTATTCTCCACTTTGTGAATCCAGGAAGGCATATTGGAATGTCAGGAAGATGGTTTATACATGAAAATCTTTCAGTAAACTAACCTATTCTACCTGCCACAAATACCTCCCAGCCTGGGCAGAGTTCTCACTAGGGGCCTGATGGCTGTGGTCCTGGACTATATAGATCTCATGGATTCTTGGCATGGTGTAGACCTCTGGCATGTGATAGCTGAAATTTGACAGGTCACCTGACTGAATGTTTTCAAACTACCTCCCCCAGAACCCACCCAGAGGTTGCCATCAGCAACAGGCAAAGACTATAACCTTCCCACTTCTGCCAAGGCAAATAGCTTGTGGAGTTAGACTATGCAGGTCTGTCTGTCTGTCTGTGTGTGTGTCTGTCTGTCTGTCTGTCTGTCTGTCTGTCTGTCTCCAAGGAAATGCCAGGCAGCAAAAAGGAGGAAGAATTGGTAAGTGGAGCTCAGTGAGGGTGCTGCTTGATATAAAAACTATGACGAAATAGAAGAAAAGTAGGTTTAAGCCTAACAGCAAATCTGGGTATCACTTTAAGTGGGCAAGGAAGCTTCTAAGCCATCAGCAAAGTGCAGGCAGACAGACAGACATCCAGCAGAGGACAGACACAATCTGCCCAACTCAGCATGCAGGGATCTGATGGCTGCTGACAGGGCTGTGAAATATTTGGTAAAATATTACTATATGGTAAAAATGTCTATGGGGCATTTTGTGTTAGGTTGACAGACTTAAGTAACTCAGTTACCCTTCTATTCTATCTGAATCCTGAACAGAGCAAGACCAGCTGACTATCCTACCAGCAGTAAGAACGCCTGCTAAAATGCATGGGCAATCTCTTTCATGCCCTCATACCTGAAGTGAGACATGGGCTCCTCTTGGATCTCAGGTCTTTGGACTCAGATCAGAATCATACCTCTGGCTTTCTTGAGACCCACCGTGTGTGTGTGTGTGTGTGTGTGTGTGTGTGTGTGTGTGTACCTGACTCTATCGGCTTATCACCTTACATTTATTTTGTGTTTACAATATGCTAAGCATATTGTAAGACCTTTCATTTCTGGATTTAACCTTCATGTGCAGACTACATTGAAGCAGATACTATCTAATACCAGGAGGGGTGCTGTTCGGGGACACACAGTTCACTTTGTGAGTGGTAGTAGACTCTGCTGAGTCTCGGGACTCTGGTTCCAAAGCTCCCCATCTAAAATGTGCTCTTTCAGCTAATAGTCTTTATTTTTTAGAGTTGAGCAGCAAATCAACTATGGAGGAAACGGATGAAAGAATACAAAGGAAGGCAAGATAGAAGGGGCAGCGTAGGAAGAAACAGCTTATGTAACATTTGGAAGGATAGATTTGCATGTTTTTAAAAAGCAGTTTCAAAGTCCTGGTCTGAAAAATTACAAATCCAAGCTCTAGTGCTAAGTAACCCCTTACTAATCATGTGGCTTCAGGCGACTTCATCTCTCTGAGCTTATTTCTGTATATATAATGAGGACACCACCTGCTCCAGGTGATTGTGAAACACCTTGGGATTTTAGACAGTCATCTGCCAGAGGGACACAAGGAAGAGACCAGCTGTGTGTAGCTGTACTCATTCCGATCTCTGTCATCAGAATGTGTAGTTTACTCTTTGATGGATCATTGGTTTTATCATCCAGGGTTCAGCCCCAGAGCTCTTGCTACAGTTGTACCTTTTATGGCCTTGGAAGGAAAGGCTTCACACTCTAGAATCTAAGAGCAACGCAGTCAGCTAAGGCTGGATGTCACCAGTCTCTGACTGTTGTGTCTGCACAAGGCCCCACTCCTATCTAAATATGCCCTTCATCTTTTTCAAACTGTTGTTTCTAGGCTGTTGTCTTTCACCCCCCCAGGTCTAAAAGACCAAGACAAGAGAAGCACCAAAAAGCTAAAATTGTACAAAAATTCTTTGAAAATAATACAAAAATATGGTGGATGTCTAACACATTGGTATAGCGCCTGGTACATCATACCACATTGATAATATTGTTATGCAATTGTTACTAGAGAGGTGCTAAGAGATGTACCTTCCTCATTCGCATCCACATTCTTTTTAATGTTTTTGTAGCACTTTTAGTATGAGTGACTGTTAACTCACTTTGCCTTTTACCTACACACACACACACACACACACACACACACACACACACACACACACACACGTTAATCGTCAAGTGAAAAGAGCCAAGAAATATCACCAGTGGACCAAGACTTGCACTAACTTCTGAGTTATCTCTGGGGACTAGGGATACCCTCAAACTGCTGTTACCCATGGGAGATGAGAATTGCTGTGGGTTCCTGTGATATGGCATGTCCCTGAGGACTGTAATGTGTTTGTTTGATCACTGTGTGGAGTAGTTATATTGTAGGGCTTGTACGCACAGTATCTTCTTAGAAACCTTCCATTATATGCTTCAGGTTAACTCAATTACATTAATAATTTCAAGATCTGCACCTGACAAATCACCAACATTGTTACAGACTTAAGCACAAAAAGTTAAATTATGACCATCCAGATTATTTTAGGACAGGGCTGATTTCAAACATTCTGACACTATAAAATTTGGTACTTTCACAGTCACTTAAAGGTGGGGGTTCTGGGTGTCTTTTCTGTTCTGGTGGTAAGTTTGCAATCACCATGGAGATGAAGTTAGACATGTGGTTATGGCTTCAAATGGACACATCTAATATGGAGGGAGGGGTTTCTTGTTAGAACAGACAGAATTAATGTTACAAAATGTATGATATATTCTCCCACACATTTTACCACATTTTGTAAAGCAAATTAGTATTTGCTTTTCACGTTTAGCAAATAACAAGACTGAGATTTGAAGAGATTCAATCATTTGCTTGACTGGTTGTTTTGCTGGTTGGTTGGTTTTGCTTTGTATCTCTACATCATTGGCCTCACTATCTCCAAAATGGTTTCCAAAATACAGAGTTTTTGAAAAAAAAAAAAAAAAGACTCACCTGTATGGTGAAGAAGCAGAAGTAGGTTGACCCACATCAAAAAGAAAGCCATTCTGTGAAGAACAAAAAGGCAGAAGTTTGCTTCAGCTAAGAGATAATCTGGGCCGCATAGCCACAGCGTGTATGTGTGGGGTCTTCTTCAGTACTACAGCTACCCTCCAGACCTGGCAGAGGTGCCCTCGGCTGACAGAGGCTCTATAACCTGTTCTCCGTGTGCCAATGTCATCTGAATGACAACATGCTGCCACTTTAAGAAGTTCTCACATAGAAGTATATAGGTATGCAAATAAAGGCACAATCCTCAAACAGAATCCAACCGCCCACTTGGCCTCATTTCTTTTTCTATCTTGTCTTGTTTGTTTGTTGCTTTGTATTGTTTTGTTTTGGTGACAAGGTTTCTCTGTGTAGCCCTGGATGTCTTGGGACTTGCTCTGTAGACCAGGCTGACCTAAAACTCAAGAGATCCACCTGCCTCTGCTTCTGGAGTGCTGGGATTAAAGGTGTGTGCCAATACTTCCTGGGCTATTTCTCCACACTTTTTTAAGTTCTACTAATACATCCCAATTTCATGGAACCACCCCACCTCACCACACCACACCCCCATCATTGCCTGTATAGTTCCTGACATCGTTGCCCCATACACACATGAACTGGTTAAGGCAGCCCTCTTGAAGCCTTCTCACCTCAAGCATAATTTTATTGCACAAATCACACTGTAGGCAGTTTTTCTCATGTCCTCTTTATCTCTGTTTCAAAGAAAGGCAAGAAAAAGATTTCCTCTCAGCATATAGTCTTGCCTCCAGAAAATCCCACCTCTATCCCAGTGCTACTTACCATACATTGTAAGTACTATGTGTCAAATATCTCTCCATGGACGATACAGCAAAATATTTTGAAACCAGACCTAAATTAATATAAATTTAAGGGGTAATGTGACCAATGACAGCCACTAGGGCTATTGTAGTTAATAGAGAAAAGAAATAAATGTCATGGAGAAAAGGTTCTAAAAATGCAATATGTGTTTTTATAACGCCATAAAATTTTGTCAACTCTGATATGAAAGCTTTTCATCATTAGGAAAAATAGAAACTCCAAGGTCTTCCTGATTCCCTTTCAACTCCAGTTACCCAGAATTTCCACCCCTCTGCCCTTTGTGTTATTGTGTAATCCTCTTGCACATTTAATAAAGCTTTTTTTCAATGGTCCTAACAGTAACACGGGCTTAATGTAAAAGTAATTTTAGTAGTCAAGAATATTAAAGTCACCCTCAACTTATCTACTTTGTCTTATAGCTGTTCACATTCATATTTAACTACAGCTTTACTGGGCTGCTCACTTCTCAAGAACAAGACATCTATCAGAGTAGTCCATATATTTTAAATTCAGTAAGTATTCATTAATAGAATTAAAATGAATCTGGCTTAAGATTTTTACAAAGTTTCACTGTATAAAGGAGGGAACAACAACCTACCCCCCAACTTAAAACAAAGAGATTTATGCACTAATAAAGATGAGAGTAAATTATCATAAAACAGAAAATTCCAGCTGTGTACCCAGGCCTTGCCTCTAGTGGTTATACCTTCTTGATGTCTGATTTGCAGAAAAACCACAAAGAGGTCCGTGAGGCATGGCGGTGCCCACATGAGCATGAAGGGACAAAACACAGTTGGCATAGACAGCTCAACACCTTAGTCCCTCCAGGAGTCACTTGACTGGCCACCAATTCTTCCCAAATAGAAAGTCTCTTTAGGCAAAGAGCTTACCTGTTTGCCAGCTGGTTTCTCTGATCAGTCAACTCAGAAGCAAGTGAGGCGGAGCCAGTACATCTTTGAAGGGAGAGTTACATGGCAGTCCTCAGGGAGATGGCTCAGAGAACTGCTATTACCAACCTGTTGCCACAGATGCTCAGTAAAGAACCGTGAGACGATATTTTTCAGTCATAGCTGCTAGCTGAAAAAGTCTTTCGAGGTGTTATGCTGAGAACCAAAAAGACAACTCCAAACCTTTGCTGAGCAATTATTCTGTACTCATT